AGATGTGTAGATGTGGCGCTTAGGGACATGGTTTAGTGGTGGACTTGGCAGTGCTAGGCTAATGGTTGGACCTGATGATCTTAAAGGTCTTTTCCAACCTAAATGATTCTATGATATTAGTGAAACAAATAATCTTATTTATTAAGTCCCAGTGCAAACTAGAGCAGAAATCAGCATTAGACATGACAAGCACACTTAACTGGTTAAATGGACAATATGTGCCCCTATGCATATGTTGATTGAGAAGTAAAATAGCCTGCGACAGTACTGTGCTAATCCTGTAGCGTGCTGTTCAAGGTGTCACCTTTCAGATGTGAGAGTAAAGTCTGGATCACAGTCTATGATCTCACAGCACGTTCTGTTTAGTATTAGTAGCGTCATGCCACTGGCTTGTTATACTGTGTATGAGATTAGCCTAGCTTTTTAACTGGACTAGATATTCTAGTTCTCTGCACTAAATCTCGTAGCCAATGGCTATGGCTGCCTGATTCAGAAGCAGGAGTCAGCTGACACTATTTATGCTCACCTCTCTCTTTTTCTCCGAGAATCTCTGTCTTTGCCTCTTTCATGACTCCTTTTTCGTTTATTTGGACTCCTGCTGGTCTCTCTCTTATGTCTGGTGCGTTCAGTATCCTTATAGCTTTCTCCAGACTGCCGTGAGTCCACTGAAGCTGACCGCCTGTCTTCCTTTCTGAAAAAAAGGTTATTGATTCTATTCAGTAAAAATAGTTTCACAGTCACTATTGTTTTCAGTACCAGTTTTGTAATATAATGACCTACTAACGGTGTAAGACAGAGGATATATCTTTTACAGGCCTCTCTGTCTCCCTAAGAAATACAATACCTCCGAAAAGAGGCCCAAAGTCCATGCTCTTGTATGTGCGCATCTCAGCACACTATTTAATCCAGTTGTTTCTTAGAAACACTGCCGCTCAGCCTTATCATCTCTGCTCATGAAACAGGAGACAGTAGAAAGGGTTCGCTCTGTTTTGCTTTAAATCCCTAACTCTTCAACCACCTGCCTTAAGCTGCTACCTGCAGTTGGAGAACCCAGCAAGCCTGATCTCCTGTATGGCCTGCCTTTTCATTCACCTTCATTTTAATGCTGAAAACAAACAGCTCGACTGTCACCTTTTAGTTTGTTTCAACATTTTCATCTCAAAGATCTCCTGAAGAAGCACAAATAGACTATCACTAGGCCACGATTCCATTTTTATTTCAGCGATAAATGTTTGGAAGAGTGTGCAGTGTTGCCTGACACAGGAAGAAATATGTATACATAAAACACACTCCCAGTTAGCACAGCAGCATTCACAGTGATAAGAACTGTAAAGGGTCCCCATGTTTAGTAAGTCATGAAAACCTTTTCTCTGAGGTATTTTATATTATAATATATCTACCATAGCATTTCCTGTGATGTGGTAGGGAAGGGGAAGAAATTGTGTACTTGTATTTTCAAGTGTCGTTCTGTCCCCAGCTATCGCATATATATGCATCTGGACACAGAGGGAGCAATATTCATTCCCCAGCTCCACTAGAAACTACCCGTTCACCTGGATCACTTGCAACTTACCTCCTTACCCCTGAAAGAAAGTTAGTAATTCATTTTTCCCCATCCTTCATGCAGACAGAGCTTCTCAAGCAAGAGCTTAACAGAATTAGTATAAAATAAACTGTGTGTGTGTCTCAGCCAAGGCTGGTATGTGCTATTGGAAAGAGGTAATAGGGTAACATTACAGGCTATCGGGCTGCTGACGCCCCTGAGGAATTTGCCAACTGTGACATACCTTCCTGAAGATTTTGACTTCCCTCCTTCACATATCTCTGCATTATCCAACCTATTCTCCTCCTGCCAGTGATTGCTTAGTTCTTCCATATGCACACCAATCACATCCCGAATCACCTGGAGATTAAGACATATTAAACACAAACAACAAAAAAAGCAGTATGTCATGGTAGTGGCCTGAACTAGCAACTAGACAGTAGAAGGTAGAGATCTCGAAACAAAACTCCCCAAAAAACCTACACATCAGATGTTTCGATGGAAAGTCTTATTTGCAGAAATAGGCATTTCAGCATAAGTTTAATAGCATCATTTTACAACAGACAGTAAACTGTATCTTATTGGTATTTTCACATTCAAGATTTAATAGTCAGAAATGCTCCTGTTAGTTATAACTTGCTGCAACAAACCAAGAAAAACTCCTCTATAGTTTGCAACCCTAATAAGGCAGCAGCAGAAGAGATTTTTTCCTTGTCTAAAAGGGTATACCATTGTTTATGCTGATATAAAAGAAGCACTTTTGTGCAAAAAAATCATAGCTTTCTCTTCAGATACTCACCTCAGTGTAAGACTTCTTTGTTATATGAACATTCTTAGCCCTGTATGACTGCCGCCGCCTTTTGTAGTCTCGCATTTCAGCCAGAATTTCAAGATGGGACTTTGGACCTTTCTGACTATCATCTAGCAAAAAATTGGTAGTAAAACAAATGGTCATTAGCAGGACATTAGCACCTGCAGGTATGCAAGTCTGGTGCTTTATTAATAAGTCTGAAACAAAACATATTGTGTTCTTTCTGAAGTTTCTCCAGTATTTAGTAACTGTTATGAATTTAGCACAAGCTTCCTCTCCAACCTTCTCGCTAGCTGTTTACACAAGACTGAAAAGCCACCGAGCAAATGTTGTTATGCGATCTCGATCTCCTGACAGTGATCCAAATCAGTATACGGGCTTGTGATTTGGTCAGACGCCTACAAAATACAGGCCTTGTTTTCAAAGCCAGTATTACAATAAGACACAAAGATTGAGAAAGCCAGATTATGTAAAACATTTACCCGTGTAGATGACAAACACTATCTCCTACCTCCTAGGCATAGCAAGGCCCACAGGATAACACAGATGCTTATGTTGCACTTGGTATAGTTACAAACCGGCATGACTCAACAGGGATGAGAGGCCTCAGTCCAATACACCCATTTGTATATTGCTCAAGAGCTCCATCCTGCCAACCTTTCGTGTTCGGCTTTTACTCTTAAGTGATCTTTAATCTCATAATCTCTTATAGCAAATACCGTTCCAAGCTGCGCAGTAAGTTGTCAACATTAAGCAACCTGAAGTCACTTGCAGCAAAAACGAAAGATCCATCCACTAAGATACACACAGTACGTGTGCAAAAGAGCAGAGCACCAAGGCTTTCTCAGAAGGAAAACAACATAAAGGATAGCAAACTAATGTTTTCTGGTGCCAGGTCTTCGTTGTGGCTTTTAAGAACAGTATGCTTTTCACAATAAAAATAGCACAAGCAATTCTGTTTGGCTTTCAACAAAACTCATCTAATTACACAAAGCGAAAGTTCTGAGCCATAAATTCAACAATAGACTGCTCTTCAAACCTTGGGTGATTTTCGCTGCTAAATCCACAAAGAGGTCACTGTCATTTTCCGTGATTTGGGATCTAGACCTCTGTTTCTTTGTTTCCTCAACAACATAATCATAAAGAGCAAGGCGATCAGCTTGAGTCAGGTCACAGGTGAAACGCTTGTGATTTTGAGGAACTTCTACAGGCAGTAATGAGTAAGATCCTGGAGGTTGAAAAGACAGCTGTTATTAGTAAAACAGCATATTATACAGGAAAACACTGAGAAGCTCGACAAACAAACAATGCAGTAAACACCCATGCTGTTTTCATCCTTCCCTGACATATCTGTAAGAAGTTTCATCCTTCTTAATTTGAAAGGATAAAAATTGCTCGAAGATAAAAAAAGGCCCAAATCCCTCCCCAGCCCCACGCAGGTTGTATAACCTCTCTTGACCGCTTACACTGCTAGTTACAGGTTTTCATATGACTTGACGGGAACGTACTAGATTAGATCAAAAGGACACTTTGTATTGTCCCATGAGTTTCAGCTCTTGGCTTACAAGCTAAAGCAAGAGAGAGGAGGCTGCAGCTCTAACTTGTGGGTTTGTCTCACTCCTAGAATTTTCTGTAAAGTACTAGCTGCAAAAGACCTGTTGTTCTGCCAACAAGAATGAATGCTTCTAGTAGACTAGATAACTGGGCGCTGTGCAAATCAGTCTCACTCACACTGTCACTTTCTCTGTTACAGAGGTTTTATAACAGACTGCCACAGGCATTTATAGCTAAAAGGGCTACAAAGGCACTTTCAAGATGCTCCAGATTAGTTCAGATAACTAACTTTAAAGTTACGAAAACAAACGCACTGCCTGCACACTCTTCTTTCGCTGAATGATCAGCCTAGTACTCACTCTTCCCATTCCCCAGTTAAAACACGCATCCTCCAAACAAACAATAAATCCATTCTCAATCTATTGCAACAGCAGCAAAGTGACTTCCCCGAAGATACAGGATGCAGTGCTCCAGGATACTGCCTGCAGAAAAGCATTTTACTTGAGAACGTTCAAACTCCCAGCAACCATTGACCCCGACCTCCGTAATCCTGCTCCCCACAACGCAGCTTTCTCCCTGCAAGGCACAGTCCCACACAGACGTACACCTCCAGGCAGACAGAAGAGCCAACACATAAGATGGGGTGTATGCAGGAGCCTTTGCAACAGCAAAGCTACTGCTTCTCTAGATTATTCAGCACTTAATGGAAGCTGTGCAACCTTTCACATCCTGCTTTCACTAAAGACACCAAAGAAGAGGAAGAAAAGCCACAATAACTCTACAACAACAAACCTAAAATCCAAGATTTCCTCGTTACTGTACTTGGGGCCTAAACCAGAACTTTTCTAATCCGAACTAACAGATTTAAACATGAACACTAGAATTTTATTTTTAAAATGCACTGTTCTTACAGGGTCACGGAAGCCCACAGAAGTGCCCTAATAGTTACAGGCTTGCAATTTTACAAGAATTTCACAACTTGTGATTAAGACCAGCTTTCCTGTTCTATTATATAGCTATTCTAATGTTCTAAATATGGTTAGAATTTTTTTAAAAACAAAGAAAATTACTTCCTTTGATACAGTTAGTCAAAAGGAAATTTACAATGAAAAATGCTTTCCATTTGTTTCTGTTGCCAAAGACTTTAAATAAAACAAACAATTCCAAGTCAGTAAATCTTACAATAGGCCAAGATGCCACAATGAACACCACCCCAATACAGTTTTAGTGTTATCTTCAGAGAAATGCAAGCTTGCAGTGAAAATTGGACAGCAAACACTGGCATCTAGTGGCTCGCTGATGTATCTTTGCGGTGCACCACTTGATAAAGGGTTTATCTGTTTCTTTACTTGGATGTGCTTGTGTCAGATTAATGAGTTACCACTTCCCTCCAGAGAAAATGCACCTGACGTGCTCCAAACACAGTGTCCATCACACGAAAGCTCCTTCCCAAGCAACTGTCTGTTGAGGCTCCATTTGCTACGCCAGAGAAACAAAGACAACATGAAAAACTATGCCTGAGCAAGCACTGCTGTATTCGACTGTCAGGAAAGTCGAACAAATGCCCTTTTCCTTCAGCACATACATGTTTACCAAACTAAAGGACTACAGACAGTAAATGCTGTATCTTTCAGGTGTTGCAGTAATTTCCAAACCACACACTGCAGCTCTCCAGTGGTTTCTATAGGTAGCCCTACTTTTCTACTCTGTCTTGGTCTGAACGCACACAGAGAAGCATAGCTCAGTCTTAACCTGGTCCCCAGACTGGTCACAAAACCCACTGAAAAATGAAACATAAAGGAACTAACGAGCCGAGAGCACTGGCAAAGGACAACATCATATTTGCAGATGTGTCAGTATATTTCTTATACAACTTAGGACAGTCTTGAAACAATCCAACATAATAATACGCATGTTGTTTGGGTTTTGATCTGAGGAGTGGTGCACAACCACATACAGCTCACGTCTAGCAATTAATCCTTAAACAAAACATTACATGAAGAACCATTACGGGAAGAACAAGGCTGGAGGCAGCATTAGGAGAGCTTGGGCCACAAAGAGCAGAAGGGTATCAGAAAAGGCAGGCAGAAAGTAAAGTGCAGGTAGTGGGATGGGAAGTGAAGGACTAGTGCTTTAAGAAACTCCTGAATTTTGCAGTGTTGATTTTCCAGTCCTGAAGAGAACTAGAGGTGTGAGCAAAACAGACTTAAATTCTCTTATCTAGTTGCCCCAAGTAGAGAAAGTAGTTATGCTCCAAAATACACAAGGGAAGGAATATTAAAAAGAAATTAAAAAAAATCCTCACAGCAGTTCACAAGTAGAATGAAGGAAGCTGCAGGGGGGGAGACAAGAGCAGCTCTCACATAAGAGCTGATAAAGTTGTCTCAGTATCTGCTTGCTACTTACTTTCGCTGTAGCCTGTACCTTCTTTCGCACTTTGAGCTCTAGCTTGCTTAACAATGTGAAACTGTAGATCTTTATCTGCAGACAGAGAAGACAAAAATATCACAGACCTTTTACATCAAGTACTTGGTAGGTTTAGTCTTTATTCCACATCCTCTATTATGAGACTTACGGTATGTTACAGAACGTTGTAGTTTTATTTATGCATAAGGGAGAGTCCGATCTAAAAATATCATTTTAATCTATTCCATATTTGAACTGAGGGGAGGAGAAAAAAAAAATAAGAAGGAATTCCGGGTTACGGGGATATGGAAAAAGAAATGTATGTATACTGCAATTCTCTTCTGTACCATTACTATATCCCCAAACTCTAGGGCCAGTTTTTCCACCTTCTAAGCATATGTTTTAATACACTTTAAGCACTTGAGGCAAGGTGAACATTGGAAGAACCTGGAAAATAACCTAAGAGGGGAAAAAAAAAGACCCTCCATGGATTTTAAGATGAAAACAGCCAAGTGACCTACAGAACAGAATTACACAGTGACAAATGTGTAATGATGGTAAATTAAGGCAAAGCACAATGGTGAGACAATAAACCTACTGGTGGAAACACTCAGTTTTTCTAAGAGGCCTTGGAGAGTTTATGGCTGGCAATGCAGCAGGGTGTGCTACTGCGAGGACCCGGACTCTGCCCCCTGGGGCATCCCCTCAGCCCCATCCTCTACGCCCCCCAAGGATCTCCCCTCAGCCCCTCATCCTCTGCCCC